ACGGAGCCGGAGTACTGAAGGTCGCAGCGGCTGGGGAATTCCCTATTAACTTAAGCCACTGCCATATATCTTTGCTTGCATCCGGCGGGCACCTGCGAGTTTTAATCCTCAACGGAAACTGGTTAGCTAGAAGCAGCAAACAAACGTCTAATGCCTTGCAGTTGGCGACTCTCAAAACCCCATTGCCAATCCTTCCCGACCTTGACGCAATTAATTACTTGGCCCACTTTTAGCACTTGTATCTCCGATATGAAGTACTTGGATAGGAATTGGATTTCAGTATGCTGCTTTCTGTTGTTACAAAACCACGCGTGTAATTCCTCTGACACGCTTGATGTCCATTTAAACTATTCGTCAAACAACAAACAGAGATCGTGTGCTTAACTGCCAGATACGATGTAATGCAGAGTTTATGTAGCGACATCAGTCCTTACGTACTCCAAAACGCACATAAAATTAGGAGAGAGCAATATGCTGGGGACTGACAACCAATAAAGCTTACGAGCTTAAGGCGGCAAAGGCTGCAACTTCAACGTTTTACGCCATCGAGCGGACATTTACCGTTTTCGATGAAGACTACTTTTCTCAAATCTTCGGTACCTTTATAAGGCTATATCTTGGATAATTGACGCAAGCCTGGAAACCGTGGACGGAGGCAGCTTCACCGACTGAACACAAAATCAGAAAGAGCACCGCCATATGAGATCCGCCTAAATAACCATAATCTCTATCCTCTCAGAAAAAGGCAGTTACGCGGAGACTTGAGACAAACCTTCCGCATCGGACGTGGCTTGGAATGCGTCTACCGGTGTGATGACTTTTTCCAACTCGCCACTACAACAAATCGCCGGCGACCTCTCTTGCAACTGCCTGTGCCCTAGGGAAATTGAATGTGAGGAAGTATTTTCCTCTAACCGGGTCATGGGACCCTGGAGTAACCTACGTCCCAATCAGTGCATATGCTGCAGCACTTCAAAATATCAGCGAACAATGCTAACCCGTCTGCATTCATCTGACTATAATGTTTTTTACATTGTTTCTAATTCTTTAGATTTTTATGAAAAATACGGATTGCAAAGACGTACGCCCATGTTCTTCAATGATACAGACTGACTGACACGGGGCATTCGCTCGCAGTATACCTCTCCCGTTAAATGCTGCCATAAAACATGTCAATTGACTTTCGCCAGTATGCAGCAAGAAGGAACTGCAGTACTGCAGGATTGTGAAAACTGGAACCACAGGATTCTCAAGACTTTGATAAATCAAGAAATATCAGAAAAACCTTAAAAAGACAGATGTTACCAAGAAGAACAAGGCATAACTAACTGAAATTTCAACAAAAAGATGAGGAGACATAAGGCCACTGTCTTAATTACTGGGTCCAGCATTGTGAGCTGCAACTAGCAACACTTAGAGTTATTTTGATATAGGGGTTTAGCTTTTGCTTTTGAGCATCAGTCTATAATAAACAAAAATAGTTGTCTAAGTGTCTCTTAGATTTGGGGCAGTCCAATCTGATTAGTGATTACGAACACGGGCCCTTAGCCAGCGCTCAAGAGCAAAGTTCTGTTCCGTTCTTCAATTAGGAAATTTTATAAGCAGTACCACTGATTCCATGTAGAGGAAAATTCGCAAATCCTGCCATTTAAATTGTCGAAAAAGTAAATGTCTAAGTGTTGGGGGTGCGAAAGAGCAACGGCGTAAGTTCTGAAAGCGGCGTATACCTTTTCAATAATCTTACACAATTAATGAAGCAAAAAGACGAAACTGAACTACGGGATAATACAGATTGTTGGATGTAATATTTTAACGACAAAGCAGATACTATGGCTATCTTATGCTTCGTTAACTTTACTCATGTATGTTTTAAACTCCACACAATTCAATGGGCGTTAATCCCAGCCAAAATAAGAAATAAGATGTTATCTCAAGTTTTTAAAATAAGTCTTTTGACCCCAGCCAAAAACTAAAAAGAAAAACGGACAGTTCATTCCTCCATAATCAAAGCATACAAAGGGAGTCTAATATACACGGTCCATGGATAACAAGCCACAGTTAATACTACAGAACGGTATGTGAATATAAGTTAAGCATAAAAAACTGGTAAATGCATCGCTCCGAGAGAAAAGGTCAAAATACGTCACAAAAGCACACAAATACCAACCTGCTTTAATGGTTTCCTAAATTGCAGCACCTCAGCGACACGTGTAAGCGTTGTCCAGGCTATATGTAGCTTTACAAAAACTAGGTCATGGATCGCTAATATGTCCTCCTCCAACGCCTGCATGGCTTTGCTATCTCCATCTGATTCGACGGCTTCAACTAGAGTGTCGCGAACTGCAGACTCTTCCTGTGCTTTGAGTCGCAGTTTCTCAATGCTGTCGGTGTCCACCTCTTTATCGGCAGGCCCCGTAGCAGCCAAAATATTCCCATTGCAATCTTCCACCTAAATAATTTTAGAATAGGCTTGAATAGTGCGTGTACTATAAGTATAAAGAAATCGGAAATGGGGTGCATATGTAAGGCATTTTTTTGGAATAACACAAGGGTAAGTCGAGGAGGCTTATAAGAATCATTATGCGAATTCACAGATATACATGGTACAGGCACGCACTATTTGTATTCGCAGACAAACGAGTGCAAAGGATGTAAGACTTTGACGTTAGACAGTGGAAATATTTCTCCCTCACTTTACAGGTGCAGCAAAGCTATTAGTGAAACTAAATGCATGATAGTTATGAAAGGCAGGAAAGCTGCAGATAACGTGAGTCTTCTAGAGGTGGTTTTGACATTTTTATAAAGAAGGCCAGTTTTTATTTATTTAATAATTCATAAAAATGTGGTAAACGCTACACTAATGTGTAGCTGATCTTAAAATTTAACTCCTTAGAGGCCAATATGGCTGACTTTACGCAGGATAACGGGGCAAGGTGGCATACAATACTGCACACGACCGTTCATGTTTTAACAAAGGTCAGCCGTTCGAGAATGACTCACCTCCATCTCGATCATTTGGTCAGCCAGTGCACTTAAAAAAGCAAAACGCTTTGCCTCCTTATCCTCACTATTTTGTCCTTTCTTGTAAACGATAACGAAGTCAATTCGACGTTTGCCATCACGGAAGAACATCTCTGGTGATTTCTGTGTATGAAAAAGAAAAAGAAGAGGAATTTAAAATATAAGAGTCTTGGCGACAAATTGAACGTGAATTTGGAAGATTAAAAATTATTTGATAGAGAACAATTTACAAGTGCTTAAAGTAAAATTTTACCGAGTAGTATTCACACCCATCAACGTTGTATAAAGGATCATTCGATGGTTCTTCCACCACATACTTTCGAACTAAAGTTAGGTTAACCGTTACATTATGGTTGAATTAAAGACATACAAAGATGCTGAGCAATTGCCTGCGACGCGGCCATCTTCTAATGAAGAACTTCGGCAGATAGCGCCGGAATAGACAAGTGGTCTAAATTGCAAACTAGCACGGCCTAGAAAAGATGTACACTGATACAGTAAAACAAATCTTGACTGTTGTAAAGTTGTTGATTCCAGAGTGCAACTTGTCGAACTGCGACCCAGGCCTTCACGGACTCCTCCTTTGGCAAGTCAATCTCTTGGCTACTGCTGACAAGGATCGTGGAAGATCTAAGTGAGTCGTATCATTCTCAATTTTCATTGCCATTCTCATATACCGTTTTTACCCTCTTTTTCCATTAGTGTAGTCTGGTATATTAGTCACTAGGAGTAAGCTCTACACTAGAAAGTTTTCCATCGTATTTTTACTAAGAGGTTCTTATTGTTCGTAGAGACTTTTCCACTAGAAATTTGGTGACCCCGTTTTTATTGTTATCCACGTCTTGCTATCATTCCATTCACCGGTTTTTCACGTTCGATTTTGCCGTTCACACGTTTTTTTTAACATGGCTGAAGAAGATCAACCTTTTTACGGAGTCGATTCAGACGATTCTGCTTCCACCAAGTCGTACGCATCAGTCGATCGGGATGAACCTCATGCTTTTCAGATTTCTATTAAGCTGCCCCAGTACGAGGTTCGTGACCCTACAGTCTAGTTTAAACAGATCGAGGCCGTTTTCGCCTCACGTCATATTACTAGCGAGCGTTCGCGTTACGCTGACGTCGTTCAGTACGTACCCTTCGATGTCGCCTTTGCAGTTCTGGATCTCCTTGATCCTATTCCTAGGAATAAACC